AGAGAGAGAGAGAGAGAGAGAGAGCACATTTCAGGCATGGGGGTCAGTCTGTGAGAAGGCACAAGTCTGTGAGAAGACACAGAAAAGTGAGATGGAGTATTTGGTGTGAAATATAGCAAGAAGGCTTTTTTCACTGGATCACAGAGTAGTAGAGAAAGGCAAGAAGTCTGGAAAGGTAGAAAAGGCCAGGTCATGAAGGAGTTTTAAAGCTAAACAGATGATTGAGGATTTTCTATTTTATCCTAAAGGTAAAAGAGAGGCATAAAGCAGAAGTAACCAAAGGCTCAGGTTCACGCTCACACGATTGAGTAACCCTGCTCTTTTTGCCACATAGGAATAGTCAAAATACGGCCATAGTGAAGGAAGGGTGACCTGTCCTCACCCCTATCCCTCTAGTGAGAGGACAGAAGGGCACTCGGAAGCTTTACAGATAGGAAGAGAGAAAAAAAAATAACTGATGGTTCACTCCCTTTCAAAGTCCACTGAGACATTGACTTTTCTCATTCAGTACCAATGAAGGAATTGTTTCACCATTCCCAAGGAGCCCAAGTTTTAAATCACACAAAGCAGAAGCAACCATGGTCCCTAAATCATCCCTAAAGTTCCCAAGTGCTGAACTAGCACACATGGTCAGCCTGAAACAGATAGAGCAGCTCTTGACATGTCTTGTTCAACTTCCAGTTACATTGCTCTCCTGACCACAGTCACTGAGCTTCAGACCACTCTTCCCTTTGAATTCTCTCTCACTCAAACATGGGATGGCTGACCAAGGTCTAGTTCTACTCTTCCTCCCTCAGTATTAAGTCAATGACTAGCTACTCTTCCTGGATCCTTTAAGGAGAGTTCTAAGTCTCATTCTTAGACATAAACCTAACTATATAGAGTATATATGTAGTAAAAACAGAACCAACTTTTGCAGCTGATGAGTTTGCTTTGTTATTTTACCCTAGAGAAAAGGAAAGGAAAGAACAAGAAAGGGAAAAAGTAGGAAGAGTAGTAACTATTTATTTCTGTGAAAGAAAACAGACTCATATAAATAACACGATCTATGAAAATGTAGGGAAATAATAACATGGATAATTTCAACTCATTTTTATTTATTATTTTTGTTTTTATATTTAGGGGGCTTTGTTCTGTAACAGAATTAGTAAAGTTCACACTTCAAACTCTTTTGATGGAACAGCGGAAGGATGTGAAGTCAAAAGACATGTTTTAATCCTAGTTTTGATGCTTAATAATCATGTGACTATGGGCAAGTCACTTAACTTCTCGGGGCCTCAAGTTTCCATATAAAATGAGGAGGCTTGACTAGAGGAGCTATGAGGTCTCTTCTATCCTTAAAATGATGTTCTCCCTGCCTCCCTTTATAGAACAACCGCATCTACTAGCCACCTAATCAGCCATAAGGTATATCAAAGGGATTCCAAATCCCAATTTAAGAAATGGCAAATACAGGATAGAGCCAAGATGGCAGAGTAAAAGCAGGGACTCACCTGAGCTCTCCCTCAAACCCCTCCAAATACCTGTGAAAAATTACTCTAAACAAATTCTACAGCAGCAGAACCCACAAAAACAGAGGGTGAAACCTGAAAGGTTGACAGGAAAGGTCTGTTGCACCAGGATAAGAGAGTAGCATAGACCAGAGCAAACCATGCCAGCACAGACCAAGCCCCAGCAAACCTGGAACAGGCCCCAGGCTACTGGCATCTGTGGCAGTTTCCAGATTTCTCAACCCACAAACGCCAAACACAACTTAGAAGGTCAGTAGGAAAGATCTGTAAGAACTGGGTGAGAGAAGAGCACAGTCCATCCCTAGTACCAATACAGCTCCAGGGCAGCGGCAATAGCAGCAGCAACACAGGCAGTGGAGGAGTTGTCAGCCCACAGACAGTAAGGGGATCAAACAATTTATCAGAAGACGATTACAGGGATCTCTGCTGGCACCGAGGCAGGATTCTATTGCTTTGTCCATACTTGTTTCTGGGTTGCAGTCCTGGGTAGTGGTCCTGGCGTGAGGGGGAGCATCGGCGTGGCAGAGCGTGTGGCAGTGGTGGAGAGGGAATCCTCCTCACAGTTCCAGGGCACAAAAGAGTGACTGTGGTCACTCACAGACCAGACCACAGGCCAGGAGAGAAGTAAACACCTCTCCTTAAATCATACCACCTTGCAAGAACTGAAAATTTCCAGGTCCCTAGAAGTATCTCTGAAAACAGCTTCACAAAACCCCTGAAGCTTGGGACAGTACACCCTCCACACTGGAAGCGGAACCCTACCTTAACACAGAGTTAAAAAGTCAAGTAATAAGCTGGGAAAATGAGCAAACAACAGAAGAAAACTCTGACCATAGATATTTACTCTGGTGACAAGGAAGATCAAAACACACAACCAGAAGAAGACAACAAAGTCAAAGCTCCTACATCCAAAGTCTCCAAGAAAAATATGAATTGGTCTCAGGTCATAGAAAAGCTCAAAAAGGATTTGAAAATCAAGTAAGAGAAATAGAGGAAAAATTGGGAAGAGAAATGAGAGTGATGCAAGAAAATCATGAAAAACAAGTCAACAGCTTGCTAAAGGAGACACAAAAAGATAGTGAAGAAAATAATACTTTAAAAAAATAGACTAGACCAAATGGCAAAAGAGGTCCAAAAAGCCAATGAGGAGAAGAATGCCTTCAAAAGCAGAATTGGCCAAATGGAAAAGGAGGTCCAAAAGCTCACTTAAGAAAATAATTTCTTAAAAATTAGAATGGAGCAAATGGAAACTAATGACTCTATGAGAAATCAAGGTAAAACAAAACCAAAAGAATGAAAAAATAGAAGACAATGTGAAACATCTCACTGGAAAAGCAACTGACCTGGAAAACATATCCAGGAGAGATCATTTAAAAATTATTGGACTATCTGAAAGCCATGATCAAAAAAAGAGCCTAGACATCATCTTTCAAGAAATTATCAGGGAAAATTTCCCTGATATTCTAGAATCAGATGGTAAAATAGAAATGGAAAGAATCCACCGATCACCTCCTGAAAGAGATCCCAAAAGGAAAGCTCCCAAGAATGTTATAGCCAAATTCCAGAGTTACCATGTCAAAGGGAAATTTTTGCAAGTAGCCAAAAAGAAACAATTCAAGTATGGTGGAATCAGAAAAACAGAAAATTTAGCAGCTTCTACATTACGGGATCAGAGGGTTTGGAATATAATATTCTGGAAGTCAAAGGAGCAAAGATTAAAACCAAGAATCACATACCCAGCAATACTGAGTGTAATTAATGAGGGGGAAGAATTGATATTCAATGACATAGAGGAATTTAATGCATTTTTGAGAAAAAAAATGAACTAAATAGAAAAAAAATGACTTTCAAATACAAGACTGAAGAAAACCATGAAAAGGTAAACAGGAAAGAGAAATCATAAGGGACTTATTAAAGTTGAACCATTTACATTCCTACATGGAAAGATGATATTTGTAACTCATGAGATCTTTCTCATTATTAGGGTAGTTGGAAGGAATATATAGACAGAGGGCACAAGGTGAGTTGAATATGAAGGGATGATATCTAAAAAATACAATTGAGGGGTTAGAGAGGAATGTATTGGGAGAATGAGAAAGGGAGAGGTAGAATGGGGTAAATTATCTCACATGAAAGAGGCAACAAAAAGCTGTTACAGTGGCAGGGAAGAGCAGGGAGACGAAAGGGAATAAGTGAACCTTATTCTCATTGGAATTGGCTTAAGGAGGGAATAACATATACACTTAATTGGGTATGGAAATCTATCTTACCCTACGGGAAAGTAGGGGGAAAGGGGATAAGGGGGGAGAGGTAATAGAAGGGAGGGAAGATTGGGGGAAGGGGTAATCAGAAGCAAACACTTTTGAGGAGAGAAAGGGTGAAAAGACAGAACAGAATAAACAGCGGCGGGGGGGTATAGGATGGAAGGAAATATAGTTAGTCTTTCACAACATGACTATTATGGAAGTGTTTTGCATGACTGCACATGTATAACCTATATCGAATTGCTTGCCTTCTTAATGAATGTGGGTGGAGAGGAAAGAAGGGAGAGAATTTGGAATTCAAAGTTTTAAAAACAAATGTTAAAAATTATTTTTACATATAACTGGGAAACAAGATACACAGGCAATGGGATAGAGAAATCTATCTTACCCTACAGGAAAATAGAAGGGGAAGGGGATAAGGGAAGGGGAGGAGGAAATGATAGAAAGGACGGCAGAATGAGGGAAGGGGTAATCAGAAGCAAAACACTTTTGAGGAGGGACAGGGTGAAAGGAGAGAGAATAGAATTGACAGGGGTAGGGGGAATAGGATGGAGGGAAATACAGGTAGCAATCATAACTGTGGGAAAAAAATTTTAATCAAGTTTCTCTGATTCCTTCAGAAACGTCATTTCTCTAATGAAAAAAAGAAATGGCAAATGCAAGCATATATTATCATGTATAGTCAATATGTTGTTTAATTTTGCTGAACTTTTTTTTTCTAATTCTTTCGATAAGGTATGACTTGCCATGTAAGAGAGAGTTAAGAGATATTTGATAATGAATATGATGTTGAAACAAAAGGTATTCAAAAAGAGACAGGCAAGAAATGTTAGCCCTTTTCTAGATCACATAAGCCGTTGGCTATATCTTGCCTCATCAATGTGAAGGACCCAAACGTGGAACTAAATAAAATTCCTCTTGTCAGCCCTAGTCTTCCCCTCCCAGCACTGTTGCCATTGCTAAAATTGAAAAAAAAAGTCCAAGTCTGAAAAATTACCACAAAGTATAGTGTCATCAAACCACTTCCTACACACTTGTGGCCTAGTGAGAAAGAGCGCCAAGCATGATTTCCTGGCAGAATGCTACTAATAATTAAAGAGAGTGAGTCCCCCTAGTCAGAAGGATTGGATGGACCTCAGCAAGATGGTTTATTAATTCTTGGGTCTTCTTCTCAGAGGTCTATTTGGTCTTCCCCAAAACAGGTATTTAACCTACTCTCCTGGACTGGATGCAATGAAGAGGTGAGGGGGCAACCTCTAAGAGATGTGCTGAGAAAGAGGAACTTTCATTTTTCATCGGCTCCAGGTGGGCAAACAAAGGGGCCAGGGAGATGGCGTGGAACTTTCTTCTGATATGGGGAATATTCACTTCAATCATGGTAGCAGATTATGCAAGAGGTAAGGGAACATGGCATATTTTTAAAACCTCAAACAATCTGTTTTATAATTCCATCCCACTATGAAACTCCTTTCCTCTTCTAACAGCAAGTACAACTTGCTTTTAACTATAAGAATGACAAGTTCTGTGCAGGTAGTTAAGAGCCCAGGGTTGTACTGTTGATTCCAATGAAGCTTAATTTTGTTCCTCATTGGTCCCTATCTATAAATAACTGTATTGGACTCTTAAGGGTTTTCCTGTTCAAAATCTTAATTTTTTGTAAGAAAAGCAATAGCATAATAGTTCATTGTTAAGATGATATTGGTCAATATCTCAAGACATTCTCTTTTCTTTAGCAATACCTTTAGATGTCTATTTTGCACACCTGTCTATACTACGAAATAGTCAGGAAAGGTAGTAGACCTTCTTCCTGATTTCTGGTCCGATATTTCTGAGATGCTATTTTGACGGTCAAAATAGAGGGCTGATTTAAATGTCTCAATTTTGTCTATAGAATTCCTGCCAAAAGGATTTTGTCTCCATGATGCATCTGGGTCAATAGAATTTATATTTGCTGACCTGATTTGAAATATGTTTTCTCAAAGGCTTTGACAGGGATGAAAAGAGAAAATAAAGGACCATTCTTTTTCCCCTTTACCTTTCTATTCCTCTCTCAGCTCTTTCTAGTTGAAGATGTACTTCGTAACACCTTGTCTCCATCAAAAGAGACTAGATATGAGATCTTAGATATTAAAACCCATTATAATAATATTCTTTAAAAAAAGAAAAGAAAAAGAAATTCAACCATTTGGGTGCAGAAAATAGACTATGAAGCCAAACATGTCCATATACTTAGTGTTTCATAAGAGTTGGGGGGGGGGGGGGGGGGAAAGAAAAAAAAGGGAGCCAAATTGTTGGGTATGGCTGTCCACCAAATGATCTATCTAGAGCTATATACTAGCCAAATTGCTCATTGGAAACAGTTGTAAGAATAACTTGCATATGATACAATGAATTAGAATTGAAATAATCTTTGAATGGAAACTGTGATGGAAGATAGAACCCATATCCTGCCAGTACTGCTAAGTCGGAGATCAGATTAAGTAATATGATCCTGTGGGTATATGCTACCCAAATTTTCCCAAAATGGCAAATTATTCCAGGGAGACATATTTCAGATGAATTCAGATCTTCACTGACCATTGATAACATTCAGTGAAGGACTTAAAATGGTTCTAGGTGTTAGTGGAGTGGAGAAGAAGTTATATTTACAACAGACTGCATTTTGACTCTGTGGTCAGCGTACTGAGGAGAAAGTACTCTAATGAACTGAATGTCCTGTCTCAAACTTTCTCCTTCAAAGCAAACTAAGACTTGAAATACATGTCATTTTGGTTGTCCAGTGGACAGTCTGACAATTCAAATCAAACAGACCAGCAGCAGACACAATTTCTCGCTGATTTACATCATTTTTCAGTCTGTAATTTCCCAGAGCTGCTGTGTAAAATCGTGTCAAGTGAGGAATCAGTCAATGTGGGTGATTTCATAGTCTCTATATTACTGGTTACTGGGATGTGGCTAGAAGACATGTTCTCCTACCGTTGTCACCACAGCATATTGCTAGAGGCATCTTTCTCAGAATTGTGGAAATACTGAGAGGTCACCAATCTCTTGAGTATTTGTTTTTATTCTAGGAATTCTCTGACCAAATATTGATTTCTAGACTTAAGAAAAAAAAAGAATGGAAACCCTTGAAGATGACATTTTTGGATAATTATTCCTTCTTATAAAATCTGCTGCCCACACTGGAATTTCCCATTTGCATATTTGTCACGAAGACAAAGTAACTTACTGTTTGCGTTAAAAGCCTCTCATTTCCTCCAGATTTCAAAGAACATCGCTGAGATTTTCTTGTTCATCTCTTACAATGCCACTGAGAAGTAAGTTATAAAGGATAGGGATAAGGATTGGTTCAGTTATTTCACTGATAGAAAGAACTTCCAGGTTCATAAAGTCTTTCTATCAATGCAGATAAAGACCTCTTCTGCTACTTATAGTATTAAGAGTGTTGCCTAGCAGCACTGAGAAATTAAATGCCCAGTGTCACATTTCAAAATACTCCTGAAGCAGGACTTGAATTAAGGTCTTCATGGCTCTGAGGCCAATTTTGCTCCCTCTATACAAAATATAATACCATTTAAAAAGTTTAACTCAAACCAACTTTAAAATAAATGTAGTGGACTACCAAATATAAATTCATTTTGAGAAATAAATTGTAGGAGACTATATTAATTAGATGGCTTTATTTAGATGATTTTCTCAAACTTAGTCAATTCTAACACATCATGTCACCAAAAGGTAAGAATCATCAAGGAGAAAATGTCTAGCTTTAACATACAACTTACATATGCTTTTTCCCTCTCTTAAAAGATACATTTGTTGAATGTCAATCACAGACTTTAGTTTAACCACAGGCTGAGACCTTTACAAAACTCTGAAGGGGATTACCCCATACAAAGGTTCACAAGAACACCTGGCCAATGAAATGTTATATACACTGGAGGTAAAACAGATACATCCTCCTTTAACATGGCATGGTTCTAAACAGGTATTACTTTTATGCACCTTCATTTTATATATTTGGAAATTAAGGAAACAAAAAGAAAAATTGAAAACGCGCAGTGATTTATAACTAAGACTAAAACCAAAGCCTATAGTTATGCCTTCACTCCAAATAAACCTAGCTTGCCCACTCATACTCCATAGCCAGAAGCAGTTAGGTGTCACAGTGGATAAAGCACTAGGCCTGGAGTCAGGAAGACTTGGGTTCAAATCTGACCTCAGTCACTTACTACCTATGTGACCCGGGGCACATCACTTAACCTGTATGCCTCAGTTTCCCCAAATGTAAAATAGGGGTAATAATAGCATTTACCTCACAGGGTTGTTGTGAGGATCAAATGAGATAATATTTGTAAAGTGTCCAGCACGTGTAGGGACTTAATAAATGTTTGTTCTCCACTCACTCCCTCATAGTTATCTTAAGCACCATGACTCCTAAATCAAATCTATATCTTCCATTTGTATTATTGTAGGATTTGCTCACAGACCACTTAAAGTACTTTCCCTTCTTCTTATACCACAAGATCATCTCCTACAACCTTGAAATCAAACCAAAGCTCTCTTAGGAACCTGGGAACTTAGTGGAAATTAAATATAAAATGAAACAAGTCTAGTTAAAATGAGATATTTTCAAGTCAGATATACTTCTAAAAAAAGAAGGTTTCCAATATGAGAATATGCGAGACAAAATCTAAGTTCAGAAATCTTTGAATTGTCAAAGGCTTATGCTTTAGCACATTATTTACATGTTATGTCATGCTCTTGTATGACTCCAAGTACGTCCATAATTAGAACTGCTTTAAGAGTCATAGCAAAGGGGCAGCTAGGTGGCACAGCGGATATAGCACTGGCTCTGGAGTCAGGAGGACCTGAGTTCAAATCTGGCCTCAGACCCTTGACACTTACTAGCTGCATGACCCTGGGCAAGTCACTTAACCCCATTGCCCAGCCAAAAAAAAGGAGTCACAGCAAAAATACAATTCATTATTTTTCCCCTCTTTTTTCTGAGGAAATATTTGCACTGATATGATATCCATAGACCCCTACTATTTCTATTCAAGGCTGCATCTACTGTGAGAAAGCCACTGTTCTAAAAGAGGAAGACTTCATCTTAAAGATGAAGTCAGAATGTCTCCTAAGATAACATGTTCCCAATCACTGGGAATGTTATAGCAAAGAATGTGTAACAATTGATCAAGGCTGTTACAAAAGTCATTTGTATGTGATACAAACCATACTCAATGACCTCTAAGGGTTATCTTCTCATAATCTGGCTCTTACTTCTTCCTTCCTCTTCCCTGCCCAAGATTTGCTAAAAAGTGGTTTCTAGGTAATGAATAAGAGAGAAGAGAAACACAGGAGAACTGGGGCAATGAACCCCTATCTTCTTTCTCTTTGTCCTGAGCTATTGGATTACAAGAATGGCTGTATGGCACCCAATTCTAAATCTTGACTTCTATTTCTCTGGCTTATTACCTTGGGCTGGCTTTAAGAAAGAAAGAAAGAAAGAAAGAAAGAAAGAAAGAAAGAAAGAAAGAAACTGAACCTGACCATGTTTTGTGACCTAGTAGTTCACAAATTATTTGGCTACTTTGCCACCCAGAGCCTTTCTCCAAAACAGGAACTGGATAAGTGTATTATTATACATTATTCCAGACTGCTTTGGTTCCCATTTTCTGTTGCCCAAATATCAATCAACTTAGCAACCACTATTTCATATAACACAGTAACACAGTAAGCAGTGGTAAAAGAATGAACAGAAATCCAAGGTGGAAAGGGGAACTGTTTGGGAGCACACGGCTTTCCTATGTTAACTCCATCTTCTCATAAAAAAGTGAAGCAAAAAATATGAAGCGGTGGAGAAATTAATGGCTGCTGCCCCCTTCTCACCCTTCCTGCCCCCACCTCCCAGAGCAATAGGAAGGAGAATTTGTCTTTGCTCTAAGGAGAGCAAGAGTCATCTCACTCAATCTGTTCTGTTAGACTCAATGCTCACATTCTCACACTACCTTCAGGCACATTGTTAGCTGATGTACCACTGTTGCAATAGAGTCACACACTCCTTTCAGAGTCTTTGAACTCTGGGGAGAGCAGAAAAGCACAAATCTAATGTGAAATGTTTGAATCTGCAAAAGTCTAAAGGACCTCAAAATAGAGGTAACTCAACTTTGCACCCCTAAATTGTGACATCTTCCTTATTCCACCCTCAAATTCTTTGCGAACCATCACAGGTAACCCTCAGTTCATGACCTTAACATTCCTTTAGGAAGTCATTCCTTCACATTCAGCTTTTCTCATTTTGAAACAAATATAATAATTCTATTGAGGGGAGGGGGATAGTCTCTGAGCATCTCATGATCTTTTTGTTATTCTAAAGCACACATACACACACATACAC